ATCTATCTGTCTGTCTATCTATCTATCTATCTATCTATCTATCTGTCTGGCTGGCTGGTTGGTTGACTGCTGGATGGCTACAAGTTCTTTTTACATCCCAATTGTATGACTCGTGTCTACCTGAAATTACTGCTGTTGTTAGTAAAAATGAAAATGAAAGTTTCTTGATAAATAAACGAACCGTCTTTTTAAGCTATTTCTCTCGTTTAGAGAGTTTCGCACTCATTTAACCAAGTTTTACGTTTCTTCGTCTTAAGAATTCATTCGACTTTTCCTCTATCATTGACTGCTAATGTTCACCATTTTACGTTCGAGTGTGCTTGCATGTGTTTTTTTTTTTTGTATATTTATCTTTGTATATTTGTATATATATATATATATATATATATATATAATGCGCGACTATATCATCTCGTTAAATGTCTAAAGTTGATACTTTTATTCGACTGCTACTTATACTTGTTTTTCTTCTTTTTTATGCTCCGAGTCGCTTTCTTCTTTCCCCTTCGTTCTTTATATCCACGGTAAATACTAACTACTAACTACGTATAGTATAACAACGTACAGTTCAGCATCTAACAGACACATAAGCTTTTCCTTACCAAACGTAACGTTTAATAAAAACACAAAAATAGTATAAAGCACTGTTTCTACTGCTGGTGGTAGAGCTTACTATTGCCGGGGCGACAAACAGATAGACAAAGAGAGAGAGAGAGAGAGGGCGAGAGAGTGAGTGAAAGAGAACGGTAGAGAGAGAGAGAAAGAGAAAGAACGATAGAGAAAGAGAAGGAAAGCGAGGAAGAGAGAGTGAGAGAGAGAGAGAGAGAGAGAGAGAGAGAGAGAGGCAGAGTGTGAGAAAGGATGAGAAAAAGTATAAAGGGAAATTGCGAGAGATGTGAGAAAGAGTAATATATATGTATCAGAGGGAGTGAAAGAGATAGAGAATGATAAAGGAAATAAAAAGGCAAGAGTTTGAAAAGGAGAATGATAGAAAGAAAGAGAAGGAATGTAAATACGCTTGAGTATTATTAACGTAAATGCAAAATTGCCAATTTCGTTAGTATTTCCTGTCAACAGAAATTTTATTTTCATTTTTTTCATTTTATTTCATTTTATTTCATTTTTTTTTTTTAATTCTATCTCAAAGAGATTTTTTTTCTTTTATTTTTTTGCTTTCTTCGAAACGTTATAGTCTGGGTGAGACGGTATGTATGTAACGGCAGCAGAAGTTAAGTTTATAACAAATTGATCTCATTATCTTATTATCGTGTAATAAAAATGTCTGCAATATTAATATGAAACCAATAAATATTTGAAATGAAAGAAGAGCATCGACCAGATTAAAGGGACTGATCCGGCCTAAACGGCCACATTATATTATCTGACCTTTCGATTTTTATCACGTATCACGTATTCGTTTAATTAATTACCTTGAGTTTAGATAAGTTTATCCATTGAAATTTTACATTAAAAATATATTTAATTAGTAATTTTAATATTTTTAATAAAAGGCGTGGTTCAATACTTTGAATAAACGTTGTCGTTATCGATATTCTTTTGTTACTTTTTGCTATCGTGATAACAAGTTATGTTTAGTGAACGTTGAGCGGTTGTCTGTGGTCGAAGGTACATATATATATATATATATATATATATAATAGATTTATGATTTTTTTTTTTGTTTTGAAACAATCAAGTATCATATCTTATTATTATTATTATTATTATTATTAATATTGGTCTTAGATATTATTACAATGGATGATATAAAAAGTATCCGCGATTTTTTGCTTCTTTTTGCAGCCTTCTCTTCTCAAATGATTCCAAACTGTCATGTGGTTGATGTTAAATGCCTCCGCTATTTCCTGACATCTTGTAAAATTTCATCGACTTTTTTTAGTGTTTGGCCGACTGGCCACATGGCCGTGAGATATGCATCTTTCACATTGAAATTTCTGGAACGGAATCTATCAAATCGCCCCTTGATTCTTCGTTCTCTTACCCAGCTTTCTCACCGTATACTTTACCATTTTTTTGGCATGTTTTGGCATCTTTTTTATAGTATAAAAAATATTACATAGTGTATGTCTTCAGATATTTCGGTATAATTTTTTACACGAGCATAAAATTAAAAAACTATCTGCATAAAAAATGTAAGCTAAAATTTCAAACTTTTAAGCACATGTTCGCTTGGGACAATCAGTTGAGTGTTGGCGGATATATAGGCATATCAATATGATGTAGTGGCAAAAAAGCCGCGGAGACTTTTTATATCATCCATTATTATGTAATTTAATATAATTATTTATTGTAATTTTTAAACAAAATGGGAAAATGAAAATTTTTACGTCAATATATTCAGGAGAGAGTAATTGGATTTTAATTTGCCACGAATCAATAAATCATTTTAGAACCAAAGAATAGTGTGTTGATAAGTATAAAGTTCACATGAAATAACTGATAGTTTTGCGAATTATGAACAAATTTTTATTGCATACATACATCCATATATATATACTTTTTTTTTTGTCCCCCTATATAAATCATTACATCGTCTATTTTCGTTTTAAAATATCAAAAATTATATCCGGGCTGCTGAAAAATAATGAGATAGGGTCCCAGGAATAGATTTACGTAATCGAAATGTACCGGATGACGTTTATATGTTAGATCAATATTCTGCGTGAATTTTTATCGTTAAATTTTTGAAATTATTGCCTTATAAAGATGTACTATATGCGGGATACATATCCATACATATATGTATAATTTTTTTAATATCATATGATATTGAGATAGATAGAGTCCTGGTGGGGACGCGATCAATCG